CGGAATCGATCATCAGCAAACGCTATCGATGCCTTCAAGCAGCGAAAGGGCCGACCGAGGATTTCGTCACCTACACCTGCCGAATCAACAAAACATGCGTTGAGTTCGAGCTGGGAAATCTCTCGGAAGAGCAATTTTAGGCTCTGATATTCGTCTGCGGTATGAAGTTGGAGTCAGATGCAGAGATCCGAGCCCGGTTGTTGGCGCGCATCGTGGAGAAGACGGATGTTGTTGTGTATGTAAAATAATTTACGATCGAACTATATTCATTCTGGCAACACTGCCGTTCAGTTATCAAATGTAAAAACTAAAAGATAGTATCGCCTTTTCGTCCGTAATCGTTTTATTCATTTTAGTCGGTTCGACTATTAAACCAGACAATAAAAGTTTTTAAAAAGTATTCGTGGTTGTCTTCTCTACTTCCGAGATCCCAAAATGCGTAACATTTTGGTGTCAGAAGTGGGATTTAGAGGAAATTTTTCTGGTCGAAAGTAAGACGCGTACGTTTCAGTCCCGCGAAAAGCAAAATGGCTACTGCAGAGCTAATGAAATCTCTCACGCGGATGTTAGCCGATGCCCTGAAATCCTCCATTGAAACTTTGGGACAAATGAACCCCGCTAGAGAAGCAACAGTGCCTACCGTCAAAACACCCTCGTTTTCAGTATCCGAGTATCGTTCCACGGATAACACGTCTGTGTCGGATTATTTCAATCGCTTTGAGTGGGCTCTGCAATTGAGCAATATTCCTGCAGCTCAATACGCACACTATGCTCGAGTGCATATGGGTACGGAACTGAACAACGCCATCAAGTTCCTAGTGAGTCCCCGCGATCCGGCAGAGATCCCATACGATGAGCTCCGTAAGGCATTAGTCGACAACTTTGACCAGGCAAAGGACAAGTACGTTGAGAGCATCAAATTCCGGGAAATAGTGCAGCAGAAAGGCGATGCATATTGCGAGTATGGTGAATTTTTAGATAGGATGCTAATAGAGCAGCTCCTACACGGCCTTGAATCGCGCGAGATGTGTGACGAGATTATCGCCAAGAAGCCAGGAACGTTCAAATCGGCTTTTGAAGTTGCACACACACAAGGAGGTAAGAACGGCAAGATCATCGTTGATTCCAGAGGCAACCAATAAGCTAGGCTACGAGCGGCCGAAGACACGGAGAGTAAACTCTGGCAGTTCCTCCTCGTCATATCAATTAAAACCGCACAAACAAAAGTGGAGTGATAAACAAACACACGACCCGAGTATGTGTAGTGGATGTGGCGGTAAACATTCTCGTAATCATTGTAAGTTCCGTGATGCAAAGTGCTACAACTGCGAGAAGAAGGGCCACATTTCCAAAGTCTGCAGAACTGGAAGGCAGCAATCTCAGGACCAATCAACCTCCCAGGTGCAATCGGAAGAACAACCAGCCTTGCAAGTGGACCTCGTTCAGTCACTTGGCAAAATTCATTCCGTCACCACGTCAGGGAAGCGAGTTATCAACGTAACCATCGAAGGACACAAGCTAGAAATGGAAGTGGATACCGGAGCACCGTGCGGAACCATCAGTGAAGCTAAACTACGAGCGATCAAATCCTCTTTCACACTGTTGCCAACAGATCGACAATTCTCCAGTTACACTGGGCACCGCATTCAGTGTTTGGGAGGTCTTCCAGTGAACGTTAGCATCGGGACGACTACTCGTAAACTTGATTTGTATGTCGTGTCTGGAGACTATGATACGCTTTGTGGTAGAGAGTGGATTGCACAATTGACGAGAGAAGTGAATCTGAGCGAGCTGTTCGCCCAAAGTGGTGCGGTGCAATCGTTAGTGTCTACCCCTTCTACGTTGCTGATGGATCAACGCCAGTCTCTATCGAAGCTGCTGGCAAACTACGAGGACGTTTTCAGCGACACTCCTGGTAAGCTGATAGGACCTCCTGCATCCGTGCATCTGAAACCAGGTACAGTTCCAGTTTTTGCTAAAGCTCGAGACGTACCGCTGGCATTGAAGAGCCAGTATGCACAAGACATCGACAAGAAGCTTGCAGCAGGTGTGTACGAGAGAGTCGACTACTCCGAATGGGCATCCCCCACACACATCGTAGTGAAGAAGAATGGAAATCTACGTATCACCGGAAATTATAAGCCTACGGTAAATCTCCGGATGATCATCGACGAACACCCGATTCCTAAAATCGAATCCATCTTCCATCAAATGAGAGGAGCAAGTCTGTTCTGTCACTTGGACGTGACGGATGCTTACACCCACCTCCCAATCGACGCAGAGTTTCGACAGGTCCTCACACTCAACACACCGACACATGGGTTGGTTCGTCCGACAAGAGCGGTCTACGGTGCAGCCAACATCCCTGCGATCTGGCAACGTCGTATGGAAGCAGTGCTTCAAGGTTTGTCCAATTTCATTAATTTTTATGACGATGTTATAGTATTTGCAGATTGTTTCGAAAACCTGCTGATTGCCCTCACAGCAGTTTTCGAAAGAATGAAGCATCACGGTTTACATCTAAATCGTTCAAAATGTGTTTTCACCACCCCGGTTCTCGAATGCCTGGGCCACAAAATTGACGCTAACGGGTTGCACAAATCGGACCAACACATCGAAGCCATTCGTAATGCAGCTCGTCCGTCAAATCCGGATGAGCTACAGCTGTTTTTGGGAAAAGCCACATACTACAACGCTTGCATTCCCAATCTCTCCACTCGAGCTCGCTGTCTGCGCGACATGTAGCAAGGGGAACCTTTTGTGTGGAAACATGAGCGGGTCACAGCATACGAAGACATCAAATCAGCCCTTATTTCGCCGCAGGTGCTGATGCAATACGATCCAGAACGTCCTTTGATTTTGGCCACGGACGCAAGCAAAACCGGCTTGAGAGCTGTTCTTTCACACCGACTGGGAAATGGACTGGAACGCCCGATAGCATACGCTAGCTGTTCCATGTCTCCCACGGAACAACATTACCCGCAGATTGATAAGGAGGCTCTCGCCATCGACATGGGCAGTCAAGAAGTTTTTCTACTACCTATACGCTCGAAGATTCACGCTGATCACCGATTATAAGCCATTGAGAAATCGCTTCCAATCCTGTGTATCAGCAGAATGGCCAATTATGCTGATTATTTGGCACACTTTAATTACGATGTCGTGTACAAATCAACGAAAGAGAACGTCAATGCAGACTAGTGCTCTCGAATTCAACGACAACCAGCTACCAACGAAGTAAACAAACTATCTTTCTGTGAGGGAAGAGATATTGGCGACGACGAGTTCGATCTGTTTGCCCTTCACCAAATCGCACAACTACCAATTCGCGCTGAACACATCGCTCGTGAAACGCGCAAAGATCCTAGCCTTGGTAAGATCGTTCAACTGTTGAAAGCAGGCACCGATCTGTCACGATCTGGCTACAAAGCACCGGAGGCAAAATACTCACTTGCTGCAAATTGTTTGCTATTTGAGCATCGAGTAGTAGTACCGTCCGTTCTCCGTACGTCAGTGTTAAACGATCTTCACGTAGCACACATTGGTATTGTGAAAATGAAAGGACTTGCACGTTCGTTTGTTTACTGGCCAAGAATCGATGCGGACATCGAAAGAACGGTGAAATCTTGCTGTGAGTGTGCTCGTCAAGCGCACGCTCCACACAAATTCAGCGAACATCACTGGCAGTATCCCAAAGGCCCCTGGGAGAGGATACACAGAGGATTATGCAGGTCCAGTGGCAGGTTCAATGCTGCTGATTGTAGTCGATGCGTACAGTAAATGATTGGAGGTCAAGGTCACCGCCTCTACAACAACAGCAGCAACGATTGGGATTATGGACGAGCTATTTTCCCGTTATGGAGCGCCAGTCACTGTTGTTTCAGACAACGGTCCGCAATTTACGGCCACGGAATTCAAGGAGTTTCTGCAGAAAAGTGGAGTCAAGTACCATAAGTTGTCGGCCCCCTACCACCCCGCAACGAATGGTCAGGCCGAACGTTACGTTCAGACGACGAAGGATGCACTGAAGGCAATGGGAACCACAGCGTCGACGTTGCATTCAAACCTGAATGTTTTCTTACATAAGTATCGTTCAGCTCCACATGCAACCACCGGAAAATCACCGTCCAAATTGTTCCTTGGGCGAAACCTCAGAACGCGTTTAGATCTCCTCAAGCCTGAAGAAGTTCACCTGAGAGTCACGACAAAGCAGCAAACCAATTTTGACCGAACTTTTCGTGAATTCAGCTCGGGTCAACCTATCTATTTTCTTTCCGGTAATTCCCGTACGGACAAGTGGATTCCTGGTGTAATTGCAGATCGACTAGGAGATCTCCACTACGAAATTGACTACGCTGGAAAACGGTTCAAGCGTCACATCGATCAAATTCGTTCGAGGCTCGGTGCAAACGGTCATCTCATGGTTGAAGCACCCGAAGCAGAAAAGTCAAGCCAGCAGGATGTGCCACGACGTGTAACTGTTCAGTTCTCCGATAATGGTGTTACAGTTCCGACAGCACCATCAACTCCGCTGAATCCAAGGAATCTTCGAGGTGCTCCTGCCGAACCAGTTACTCCAGAGTTTCATACGCCATCTGGTAGCCCAGTTCATCAAGATGCAAATTCTTCTCCCTTCATAGTGCGTCGTTCGACAAGAGAACGCCGCCCTCCCCGCAAATACTCACCGTAGACGTTTCAGTTCGAAAGGAGGGAAGAAATGTTGTGTATGTAAAATAATTTACGATCGAACTATATTCATTCTGGCAACACTGCCGTTTAGTTATCAAATGTAAAAACTAAAAGATAGTATCGCCTTTTCGTCGGTAATCGTTTTATTCATTTTAGTCGGTTCGACTATTAAACCAGACAATAAAAGTTTTTAAAAAGTATTCGTGGTTGTCTTCTCTACTTCCGAGATCCCAAAATACGTAACAGATGTCACTCTTGAGCAGTTGTCCACCGAATGCCAACGTCTTTTGAATCTTCGGCATGAAACTGCGATGATCGAGCGACCCAATAACACAGTGAACGCCATCAAACAGCGGTTCCGGAACCAGCAACGAGCACGGCAGGAGCATTTCAGTGCTTCATCGTCATCGCGAAGTGCAGTGAGTGGAAAAAAAAGTGCCACCAAGTCCCTGTTGGAAGTGCGGATCGATGCACTACACAAGGGACTAAGTAAAAAGACCATAAGTGCGCTAAATGCAACCAATATGACCATAAAGAAAGTTACTGTGAAAGTGATCGAAATTCCCCTCGGAAGCGGGTGAAGAGACGAACGAGAACAGTGACTGTAGATACGAAGACTGGTCCAAGTCGCTGTGAACAATATACGAGGGAGAAGAAAGTTTGTCCGGTGTTTGTGAACGGTGTTTCGGTTCGACTGCAGTTCAACTGTCGTATCATGCGAGACCTGGAAGCAGCTAGGAAAACAACCAACCAGATCACCGTCAGTGAACGCGAAAACCGCATCGGGTGATTCTCTGAAGTTACTATCGGAGTTCGATTGCTCGATCACCGTCAATGACGTAACGCAAGTGGGAACGATCTACGTCGTTGCGCACATCCTCGGTCGACTCCGTTCCGATGAACGTCTTCTGTCGACAGGTCAGCAATTCCTATTCATCCATCGTAGAGCGGCTCAAGGTCGCCTACCCGACCTTGTTTAGCACCAACCTCGGACGGTGTACGAAAGCAACGGTAAAGCTCGACCTCAAGCCAGGACAAAGGTCAGTGTTTCGTTCAAAACGTCCCGTGGCCTTCGCCATGTACCAGGCTGTCGCTGATGAGCTTGACCGTCTCGAGTGTTTGCGGATCATCACACCAATCGACTATTCGGAGTGGGCTGCTCCGATTGTGGTGGTTCGGAAGGCGAACGGCAGTATTCGGATTTGCGGTGACTATTCCACGGGCTTGAACGACGCTCTCCAGCCGCACCAATACCCGTTGCCGTTGCCGCAAGACATCTTAATCAAGCTCGCCAACTGCAAGGTATTCAGCATCATCGACATGTCAGACGCGTACCTGCAGTTTGAAGTCGACGAATCATCGAGTAAGCTCCTCGCAATTAACACCCACCGGGGCATCTACAAAGTCAACCGACTGGCACCCACACTAAAAGCTGCGCCGGGAGCATTCCAGCAACTCGTTGACACCATGTTGGCGGGTCTCAAGCACACTTGCGGTTACATCGATGACATCGTAGTTGGCGGAGAAGATGAGGAACAGCATTGGCGCTCCTTCGGACGTCAGCAGATTATATATCTTAGACACTTACTTGATCACCATGGAGTTCGTCCCGATCCAACCAAGATCGAAGCCATCAAGCTCATGCCGGCACCCACGGATGTGTCGGAGTTCGGTCGTTTCTCGAACCAGTAAACTTCTACGGGATATTCGTACCTAATATGCGAGCTCTGTGCTACCCACTGGACGAACCTCTGAAGACGAGAGTCAAATTCGCTTGGACAGCGGAGTATCAGCAAGAGATCATCGTTTCGGCCGATGCGTCATCAATCGGTCTGGGGTCACCGTTTTCCCGATGGTACAATCAAAGTCGTCCAGCATGCTTCGAGAGCCTTGGCACAGCCAAACGGACCGTGAAGGATTAGCCATCATATATGCGGTAACCAAGTTCCACCGCAAGTTCCTCCTCCAAACCGATCATCAACCACTACTTCGAATCTTCGGGAGCAAGAAGGGCATTCCAGTGTATACTGCCAAAAGTCTGCAACGCTGGGCCCTGACGCTGTTGATGTACGACTTCGTCATGGAGTACGTGGCCACGGACACATTTGGTAACGCTGACATTCTTTCTCGTCTCATCAACCACCATGCGACATGAGGTCAGTAGTGTGTGATTCTTTTAATGTGTTCCCTTTGAGTTTTGATACAGTACAACAAAGCACCAAGACGGGGATTAGCGCTGGCACTCTGCCTCCCGGACGGTTATATGTGTGTGAGTGGTGGTTTTCTCGCTTTCCGAGAAGTTTTAGAATCGAGAAAGAAAACATGATTCATCATGTTTGCAAGCAACAGAAGATTTAACGCTATCTGCGTTGTTTGATTTTTTCTCCCGGTCCAGAAATTTGTGGCATCGCGAGCGATAATTTTAATTTTAGTTTATTTACGCGGTGATGATGTTGGTTCACTCGCAACTATTTTTGAAAAAATTAAGTGTTTTCGAACGAAAGTGTACCATAAGTGCTTCTGAACGTGTTTCGCAGTTGGGTGTGGTGAAATTCGTGAATTACCGTTTGATTTTGGAAATCCGTCTCACAAAATTGCCCACCGATTCCTTTTTTTGCCGTTCGACGACGACGGGTGTGCTTTCGCGAGAGTGACGTTTATTTGATCCGTTTATTTGCACGGGTGTTTTTTTTGTAACTAGCGTAAGTGTGCCTGCGATTTGCATTGAGTGTCGGAGATTGTAAGTAATCTGCAGGATGCCTCGCTGGATACGCCCAAGACTGGACGGGCAGTAGCTGGTGGCCGTGAACGGTTCTTGGGGAAAGCACTAGATGCGAACCTCCTCCCAGATCACCATGGTAATACAGGAAGTATCACAACAAAGGTAATTGCTATTAGATATTTTGCAAACAGTGACAGATAGCGGACATGAAGAACCAGTGGAGGTGCCGGGCAAAGGTGTTTATCCTAGACAAATGGTAAGTTACAAATTCTCTGTTGTCGTTGTCATAGGCGCCGTCGTAGTCGCTGTCGTAATCGCCGTCGTAGTCGTAGGCAGTCCGTTAGTATATTTAAAATTAAACATCAACCGCTGAAAATATGAATCATCGTGTATTTCTGTTGTTCATTACATTCCAAGTGAAATTCGAGAACGTAATTTCATTTGAATAGCTTGTTTAACCAGGTCTTAAACAATCGTCACGTCGGTCATAGCTTGTTATGATTGTCTGTACCATGCGTAAAGAGAAAATCGAAACATTTAACGTCGCGTGAAAGTGGATCTTAATGAAGGCCTAAGTACTCTTTCGTAGCTTTTAGTTTTAGGATTTCAAAGATCGTCGGTTGCAGTGGCTTGCTTACTGAGGAGAAAAACGCGGTCCCAGATCCTTTCATATTAAAAATATTAAAATATCGCTTGTTTATCGTGTATTTTGTAAAACTTTTCGTTGTCGGCCGGGTTTGAAAGGTTATAAAAACTTGAGTAACGCTATAACGTGATATGAGAGGCTCGGTGGCCTTAGAGCAACCGTTTTTGCTTACTGAGCAGAACGTCATGAGTCTAATCTCAACCCATCCACATTCAAGATTCGTCAATGATTAAAAAGGAGCTCGTCTGCCTAGTGGCAAACGTTTTTGCTTACTGAGCAGAAGACCGTGGGTTCAATCCCAAGCTTCTTCGCGTTATACGATCGTTAGGACATCAATTCAGCTTATCGTTTACCAAAACGAACCCTGCTGCTAACCCAACCCTCTTACCCAACATCCCTGTGATTCCTCGTGGAAGTGCAGAGGACTCCTTGGCTTCCATCAAAGCGAGTGTCACGTCAACACATTCCTACCCATTCCTTTCATGACCTGCGTTCAGGTGCGGCTGGCGCTGGTATTGCCTAATTCGAGATCACCAGTTTTTACACATTGAGGATGATTGCTAGTCCCAAGCATCGTCTATTGGTTCTCTGTGTAATTACAGCTGGTCTGGCAATAACAGAGTAGCAACCGTGGGCGGTCAATCATGCTCATGCTAATGCTCAGTACAACAAAGCACCAAGACGAATCCGGTGCTCAAGAAGGTCTACCGGTACGTCCAGGAAGGCTGGCCAAATTCCCTGGCCAGCGACGCAGATCGAGAACTTCTTCGTTTCCACCATCGTCGTGAATCGCTTACCACGGTGCAGGGCTGGATTCTATTCGGCGAAAGGCTTGTCATTCCGTCTCTTCTACGCAATCGATGCCTCGAAGAACTACACCGGAGGCACCCCGGTGTTCAGCGGATGAAGGCACTCTCCCGCAGCTACGTTTATTGTCCATCGCTCGATAGCGAAATTGCCGATTACGTGAAAGTGCCTTGACAGCAAAGTCCCCAGCAGCAGCGACCGCTGTGCCCTGGCCCAAGCCAGCACGTCCTTGGCAACGTGTCCACGTGGACTACGCTGGTCCTATCGACGGTGACTACTATCTGCTATGTTGATGGGTCGATAGGTAGGATCCAGGTGTGGGAGCTGCCTCCCTGGCGTCGATAGCATTGGTGCTCAGCACGGAAAACAAAATCGAGAAAAAAAAACCTGCTATGCTTCACCTCGTACGTTACGAAAAACCTAGTTGAGCGACATCAGACCGATGCAATCTACACCGAACTATCAGCAGCATTCGACAAAGATCAATCACGCTATCTTCATCGATAAATATTGGAACGGCTAGAGATTAATGGATGTCTACTATCTTGGTTCCAGTCGTATCTTATCGAACGCCAACTCAGTGTGTCTATTGAGGATTGCAATTCGATCGCTTTCCCAGCAACTTCAGATTTTCCTCAAGGAAGTCACCTCGGGCCAACAATTTTCTTAATTTATTTCAACTTTGTGCTAGAGACACCTCGTTTGTCATCCGCTGATGATCTTAAGATTTTTCTCAAATATTCTATATAAAATATATAGATAATCACCTTCTCTCGCAAATAAGAGTCATTGTCGCGAGTTATGTGATCGATGATTACTATTTAAATCAATTAGACGTAGAACACCAATAAAAAAGGGTCGAGCTTGGGATTGAACTCACGACCTTCTACTTGGAAACCGGAAATGGTAACCACTACTCTACTGATTTCGTCTAGTTGTTAGACTGAACCAGTATTGTTGAATAATGAATCTAATACGTCGTTTATAAAGCATTTACAAATCATGACATTTTCATCATTTCAAAGGGGCGTAATTGCTTTTGTAAACATTGGCTTTAACCGTCGATTTCTGGCGAATTAAAACTCACCCCTCCAAATTAGCAATGCTAGCTGGTAGAGGAAACATTCCTCTACTTGTTGGTTTCATTATTTTCATGTGTGAGCTTTTATTCGCGAGAAATCGATGGCTAAAGCCATTGTTTACAAAAGCAATTACGCCCCTGAAATGTTGACACTAATGTGATTACAACATGGACGCATAGTGGTATAAGAGCTATTATGTTGACTGTATTCACCTTTATTCAGCAATATTGTAAAACAATGCAATTAAATCTAATAATGGAGCTAGAGAACATTTATTGGACGTCTAATAAAGCATGTTATTAAATCAATTGAAAACAGTCGAATTAAAGCGTCAACGTATGTGCAAATTACACTTATTCAGTTTGTTATTAGATCAAACTTCTGGCGTTGAATTGGGAAGACATTTAACGCTTTTACAGCTTTTAATAAGTAAATTAATCAGATCAGAGCAAACAGTGGAATAAATGTGCATCTATCGATCTCAATGAGCTTTTTCAGCACATAATTCGACAACTCGTTTTATTCAGCATTGTACACTGTTATACAGCATTTATTCAATATATATGCTTATTTGTGACTTTGAATTGTTATTATCAAACACTTCCGTCTATCCCCATTCGAGCTCGTCGGTCGTTCTGCGATTATAGCTTTTCAAACGTGGCATTATTTGATCCCATTGTCATCGTCACTTTACACTTTCCCATCACATGCTGCTGCTGCTGCTGTTGCTGCCAGATGATTCGATTGACATAAAAAAAATCGTTGTCTAATTGAATGGTGGCTTTTTATTAGAAACACAGTCAGAAACGCTGGAGAGGAAAAAATCTGACGCAACATCGAACAAAGGAGAAAGATGTCTGTCACCGACCGACGATGACGCAGCCGCCACGATAATAAAATTGAATGATCGAAAAAGTTCCCCTCTTCAGATCGAAATAGTCGGCAACAAATAACAACAATATTGCGGATGGCATTTTGCGCACGATGACATTCAAGCGCGCGCTGCTGGAAACAATAGCCTTGAGCTGTGCTGAAATGGATCCGAAATGCTTTTCGCCGAAATGCTTTTCGGGAATTTACGCTTTTTTATCGTTCAATTTTGTACGGCGCTCGTAATTATCCTCGTGTATTTCCAAGTCGGTAATTCAAATGGAACATTTCGAAGCGTCAGTTGGTCGATATTCGAGCGATTGAACTTTGGTGCTACCTAGCTTGTATTACCGCCACGAGATGGAAAAGCTAGAAAATGGATTAATTTCCAATTGAACGATAATGGGCAATCTGATGCCTCGACGGTAATGCTTCAATTGCTGCTTCTCTACGGATGATTTATATATAAAATTATCGCGTTCTCGGAGAGTGGCACTTGAGTTATTTACGATCAATTTCGGGCTGAATTCATGCAGCGTTAATTATCGTTCGTCCGAGTGCGTGT